CGACCAGAGTCATGGAATGAATTAAGTTCGTAAACCGAGGTTCCACTGTATAGTAAATCAGGAGGGAAATAAAGAATTTTTCTAAGATCCAGGGTATCTAAGATATCTCCAAGGATATAAGAAATCATAAGAAAGCACCTGTGCTTGAGCTTTCTCCAACCAATTATACAAGACTGGAAAAGATATAATTTAAAGACCCTGAATAGATCTGGCAAATAATCCTAAAATACTCAATATAGATCCCTTCCACACTGTGGCCTCTTTGCTACCCACATTATTACAGCATTTTCACAATGCTTTCCACCCCTTCCTTGAGCAGGACAGGTCTCCCTCCAGCTGGCCAATGCAGGAGTGCTAAAAATGGAAGTTAGCTGGCCTCCCATTCTCTTCTTTGTTCTTCCTTCATGTTTTTAAGACAAAGTAAAGAACAAAACTTCCAACCAGCTTCAGAGGTGTAGCAAAGCTACAATAGCAACTAGAAAGCAAAAGAAGTACTAGAGCAAGCCCCATGATGCCTTTGTTTCAAAAGGGGGAGTAAAATGAGTGGAACTGGGTGGTGGGATGAGGCAAGATTCCTGCTGATGGAGAACTGCCCTTAGCAACTAAAGAGGAAGCTCAGCAACTCTCTCTTTCTTGTATTTCCTCTGGGAACAGCAGCTGAGCTGATTAAACTTCTGAAGTTAATCAGCTCAGTGTGTGAAGACTTAGAAATTCCATGGTATCATGAAAAGATACAAGAGCAGAGACAGGGAAGGTAAGCTAGAAATGGATGAGTTTTATGTGTTGTCTGCTACAACACATAAAACACTTATTTTAATGTTTGTTCTATTAAAATGTGTGGTTGTTTGCTACATAATATTTTTTACTTCTGTTCTCCTATTAAGGCAGGAGTCCCATGGTATCACCAAGCAGAACAAAAGCCGTCAATATTTGTCTTTTGCCTAGCTGAGGACTGTGGTATTGATCTCCCAGTTCCTTTCTCCAGTTATGATGTGAGTAAAGCTAGCCTGAAATGTTCTGCAACCACCACTTCCAAGTCCCTTGCCCCATAGTTCTGCCTGCTTTGCCTCACAAGGAAGCACAGCAAGAACTCTACAGTCTCTCATGAGCTGGACTGACATACTGCTTGTATAAAAATATGTAACATGGTTCAAATAAGTGCTCTACATGAAACGGATGTTGCTAATGTTTACATTTTTACAAGCAGCATCCTTCTCTTCTAGCAGTTGTCTGCTCTCTTTTTCTCTTTCCTGGCAACATACCTAAAGGCAAAAGGGGAGAAGAACCAAGCTGCTATGCAGGCAATTACCTTCTATTTCCCTATCCTTTCACATGTTCAATCAGCTTGAAAATTAGCCTCAGACTGTGGCTACTAGAATGATATTGATTAAATTAATTTCTATACAAGGTAACTATTACTGTATGGTTTTGTGTATGTGTCAAGTGTGCTGTTTTTAGTAGTGACAGTCAATACTGTCTAATATTTACTAATTTGACTGTCTAATCTTTACTATTTGGGGCACAATAAACTTGGCAGATGGAGCAAGAGCCAGTTAATCCATGCCATTGGTTTGTCAGTCCATGAGCTTCAAGCTCCTCCTCCTTCCCGTCTCACCCCTCCTACCATATATGGTGGAACTGTGCATACAAGGCAATGTGTAGAGTGCCTGAAGGGGGCTCTGCTTCTGGCCATGCTGGGCCTTCCCTGAAGGGGAAGGTGCCAAGTACCTGAAGCCAGGTCCCTTGGAGCTGGTACTTAAAGATATACTTTGCTAGGAGCAACTTTAAATGCCAACTCCCAGGGAAGAGAACTCTTCTAAGCACTTGGAAGTAGGGGAATGGTGTGTGTATGGATTTAACCTCATTCAGGTGACATAATTTAGTCACAGGAGGGAGCCTGGCTCAGGGGAAAAAAATCTGATACTCAAGGCTTATCCTATTACAGTGTATTAAACCCAGGCCAGTCTGAATGAAAATAACTCTGTGAAACATCCAACTGAATGATCCATGATTTTTTTTTCATGCAAAACATGTACTAGCATCCTTGTTTGTATTATATGTTAGCGTAAACAATGAGATAATATTATCTGTGTTTAAATAACTAAGAGCAAAACATTGGGTAAAATATAGTATAACACTCTGCAAGTAAATTTTCCAGAGAGTGTGTGACTAAGAAAGAGGAATGGGGGCTGAATCACTTCTCCCTTGCTTCCATCAGTGGAACTCAACTATTAAAATTTAATCCATGTAAAATACAATGTGTCCCCAGCATCCCTCTGTGCATGTTGCTTGAAGCTAGAAATTCATAATACTGACCCAGTGTTGTATAGGAAGCTGACCTTCCTTCTGAGGCTTCTAGACACCTCTAGCCAGTGATCTGCTTATTTAGACATAGGCTGATCAATCCTAAGTTAAGTTTCATGCTTATATGGAGTATTCTGATTATAAATTGGAGTTCTTTCCCCATCATCATGTTTCAACGGTCTTTTCATACCACATACTAAACCACAAATTAGCCAACCATATTTTAGCTGTTTTAACCATATTTAACCATAGTTTAGCTGCATGAACCCAGGCCTTATGGTTAGTTTAAGGATTCATGTGTTTTGCAAATCCAGAAAATGGGGTTAGCTGAATACATAATTGTTAGCTTAAAAATGGGAGAGTATTCAAAGAAACACAGCCCTTCTTCAGTTACCTCCTTGCCCCTGTTTGATTTTTCCTGTGATTAACCTTTTCAGAACTTCCTTACAGTGTCAATTTTTTGCATGTTAGATATGATTTACCACCTGGACATGATTACTGAGTAAACATAACAACCTGAAGATGGATCCTGAGAAACATAAGGCTTAGCCACTCTAGAGCTAATGTACACAATATGAAAATATAATTAGCTGGTTGTCCGACATTATCGCTAAGTGCCTGGACTGATTGATGCTTCAATACTGCAGTTTAAGTGGCAAGTGAATTGCACTATAGAGTCACACACCAATGCACACTGTGCTTAAGGAACTATGTTAATAGCAAATCAACATCTGTGCACCTAATCATGTATATTGCTTGGGATGTCAGCTGCCTTGTTAGAAATAACTGGGAAGAGAAAGAACACGTCCACCTTTGAAAAGGAAAAGGAAAGTTCTGTTGAAGGAAGCTAGGCTCGGGGTTCAGTTTGAAGGGGTAGGACTTGGTGTTACCAGACCAAGGGTGGGTGTGCAGGGAGGCAAGGAGAATGGGCAAGCTTTTTGCTTTACCTCTAATCAATGATCTCAGCAGCCAGTTGTTTCTGCTATTTATCTTTTATACAAGCTGAACATGTTGGGTTAATATGGAATTATCCTTGTAGGTGTACAGGAAGTTAGTCCAACTGAATTCGGTGGAGCTTACTATCAGATAAAGGGGTATAGGATTTCTTCCTATAATACCTTTGGCATTTAACTACCATATAACAAAAGTATTAATGCCATCAAAGCACCTTTTTTCAAACAGAAAAGAATAGTGGCAGCCAGTTGCCTTGGTTCAGTATTTTCCACAGCTCCTGGCTACTTAACAAACATGACACTTGTAGTAAATGGCAAGGCAGTTCTAAAGAAATCAGACTAAATCTTCCTTCCTTCCTTCCTTCCTTCCTTCCTTCCTTCCTTCCTTCCTTCCTTCCT